ACGTCTTAGGATAAGGATTTACTTGGTTCAGATGTTTTTATGAAACCCATTCTTCATTGGCGGGCAAAGCACAGATAGAAAAGACCAAGAAGATATCATGCAAAGAGAAATTCTTTACCTGCATAGAATTCAGGGCTGTAGACTGCACCCACAACTGGATTCAATTTCCAGCCTTAAAACAAATATACAAAAAAATCATTATTATCACCTTTGATTCAACGACTGATATCACTGCAAATTAACTGCAAAACTAATGGGTTGGGTTTTTTTTTTTTTTTTTAATTTTAAAATTCAGAGGATATATAGTTTGGGCATGCATAAAAAACTGCTTGAAAACTACACATAGGAAAATAGATTTATTCCCTTCTTTGATTTTTCTGCCAATACAAGTTAATAGTATGAAAACTACTGACCAGCTACAGGTAAACCTTTTGAAAATGAAATGGTAATAAATTTTCTCCCATGTCCATATTATCTGAGACCACTATAATCATTTCTATTTTTGGTCTTATTTCACAGGCTACCACTAAATAATACATCATATCTCTCTGCATTAAGTTCACAAAAATTTGAAAGTTCCCATGAACAGAATTCTTTGCAGTGACATATTCTGATAATTGTCATTTCTAATTATGACCTGGAGACTCTACAGAATTCCAAAGTGCCTTTTAAAGCCCAAAGAAAATGACATTTATCTAGTAGAGATTGAGTGTGGAATACATTTCAGTGCCTTCAGGAACCATCAAAAATTTTAATCAACGCATGATATCTGGGGTAACTTTAAGTAACCTGTATATAAGGTAAACAGAATCCTGTAATTTTCTAAATGTTCTGGATGGAGCATTTTCTGTAAAATGAAATCCTGGACCTTCAGAAATTTTTACTCAAGAAAAGGGCATAGAAGAATATCTGCAAATTGAGAAGCCACCCACATTACAGACTCATAGGGCCTTATCTAGGGACAAATCTCTGAAGAATGATCATGTTTTAGGGTTTAGTGATCATCTCCTTTCCTACTGGCACATCTTTATGAAAAAATCCATTATATAGAATTCCTGAAAGACAACGAAAGATCGGCATGCTTGCCTTTCGTGGAAAACCTTGTGTCTGTGGGCTGAGGGTCAAACACTAGAGGCCCTTTATTAATAAATGCTACCGAGAAAAGGCCATGGTGAAAGTTGAGATGTGATAGAAAGTATTTCTGACAAGAACTCTCTGAGCTCTTCCCAGAAGGGAGAGGTGTGACATCCTGTTGTCCGACCTAAGCGATGCGCGTGTTAGAACAGCTGAGAGGTGGTCACAATCTATTGATCCACTAAGAAAGATGGAGGCTGAATATAGTAACAGATATGCCCTTGGATGGACCTAAGAACTTTTTAGAATATTCTAGGAATGTTTTGTTCTAAGAACTTTCAGTTCCAACTTGAATAAGCTAGCTGGTTTACAGTCCCTAGATGTTCTTAGGATAGGGTTTTTCAAAGGGTTATTTTTGGATTACTTGGGAGAGCCTTATTGATGGAAAATCCCTAGACATATTTAGACCTACAAAGTGAACATGAAATGCTGATATTGTCCCAATGTTTTCTAAAACTTTACGCTGACAACTTACTCCCTTATGTTAACCATATCTTGTCTTACAGGAATTTCCGTGGCAATAGAAAATTAATATTATCCCAAACATTTCAGAATATGTGTTCTCTGAATGTGGAAGATGACTTCGATCTGACCAACTGAAATTACGCTGCTTCTCAAATAAGAAAACACCCAGTTTCTGAGGACATGGGAACTAATGTCTGCATTTCAGGTTATTCGAATTCTAAGATAAAATAGGGCAAACTGGTTGAAAATAAAGCTTCAGAGCTATCTGAACATATTGAACATTCTCTTTCTAGTCCTTCATGGAAATCTAGAGTGTGTGAAAGAACTCGATATGGAGCTATAGTCAATGAATAATTAGTTTATTAATCGATGACTCCTTCTTCCCTCTGTTCCCTGTCTTACACCCTACGTGTGCCCTACCTTTTACTGGAAGTGAAGACACAGTCTTTTGAACACTATTCAAGTAAGGCTCTGTTTCTTGTGTACATCCTTTTAACTCTCTTAAATTGTTCTTTTGCACGCAAGGCTGGAGCGTACCATTCACTGAATGTGGACCCATCAATTAATTTTGATGTAACTGTCAAAGATTGTAAGTGATGCCAATGATCTTTCGGAGGTGTCTAAGACTGACTTAGAAATCACGTTTCTCTCATCCACCTTTGTCTTCCTCATTTCCTTGAGTTAAGTGAACTTGTTCCTCTTTCTCACACTCTCATTTAACATCTATCATCTAATTGATATTGATCAATAGATTGATCAATTAACTCTTGACAAAGTTGACCTGATGTTATTTAGGTCCCCAGTGTCTTCTCAAGGGAAACCATTTAACGCCTGGCACACCCCCTTCTCAAAGCTACTCCGATTCAATTCCCGGCTTTGTTTCCCGTATAGCTGTTAACACGACCTGGGTTACTCATTTCTCTTTCTTTGCTTGTTCCTAATTGTTTTTATAACCATTTCCTTCATTAAAATGAATGGTAAAGTGAGCAGGGCTGCCGTTCGATGTGAATTCCCAGCATCGAAAACTGCATTTGGCAAATCGTCGGTGCTCCATAAATATTTATTTCGTTTTGCTCTGAAGAAACTGAAGGAATATACAGCTTCGTTTTTAATGGACTCATTCCCTTTTGGCTAGGATTCTGTCTCCTTCCCATCTCCAATGACTTGCTTCCTGATATATATCTAATAAAGAAGGACCCTGTTAGGGGTGACTGTCTTCAAAGGAAAGGCAATCAGAATCCAGCCCTTGAAAATCACCTCTGCTCAGACTTAAAGCTCATGCGGGCTTATGGAAATGTATGCAAATCACATGTAAATGGCCTCCTAGTCCCCGTGACTCCTCTAGTACCTGGAAGAGACCCTTGGGAGAACCCTGCTGGAGACATGAGCCTGCACTGTCAGGAAGACGGACAAAATGATCCCAGTTTTAATTTCTCAGGCAGTTTGTGTACATCCCCAGGCCTTGCAAATTCACAGATTTTGATCAAGGACATTAAACCAAACAATGAGGCTTACAACAAAAGAACAGCTGATAAAGCCCACAGCTCCCGGCCTCCCAGGGCCGCCTACACAACAAGGCAGTGGAGCAGAGACCAGATGCGTGGGGGTCTCGCTCCAGATCAGACACAGGAGCTGTTTAGAGAGACCCCTCTGTGGCCAGGCCTGTAGGGGCTGCGTCTAACTCAGAGCTCCCATCCTCAAATTTAGCTTCTCGAAGGTCATCATCTGCCAGTCTTCTGTAAACACGCTGGCCGAGATCCCTGGCCTTGACTATGGCTCTATTAGGTGTTAAAAGGCAAGTCTGAATGTGCACACAAAAAAAATCTGCACTCACCTTCTCTAGGCCTTTACTGGGTTAAGTATCAAAGAAACACATTTAACAGAGTACCCTGAAATACACCACATGGGAGGGTTCCGAAACTGCATACGGATGCTTTCTGCAGCCACGCAGCGAGGATGCCAGCAACCTGGTAGTCGAGATGCTGCACGAGGCAATGGCTGAAATGAAGAGTTAGTGGCCCACTGTGTTTGGTTCACCTAGTAATTATTTTTTTTGGCCACATGTGTTCATTGCTGACACTTAGAGTTCATCTAAAATAGAGGATTTCTGTTTCTCTTGAAACATTAGTGGAAATGGCAACTTTAGATTAAGAATTTCCCACAGAGTGATTTTTTTGGAGGTGACCAGCGAGCACCCCACTTAACCCCTCAGTTTGCCACAGTCACCACTGCTCCCTATTGTGTACCCGGCTTGGGGGCCAGCCATCAGCAATCTTTTGTTGTTACCCTGTGATGTTTTTCTTCTAGCAGAGAAATATTTTGCTTTTCCCAGTACGAAAGTACAAGATAGTCCCTCCCACAAAACTGTGAATTTGTTAGACCTTCTCCATTTGCTCATTTATTTTATCTGCCCAGCCTCTGCTGGCATCTGACTATTTGACCCTTAAACTAGTATGTCTGTCTGGAAGTTCAACTCACTACCTATAGCAAAAAAGTAACGAGATGGCTACATTATTTTAGACTATTGTATAATTAAATTTTTAGGGCACTTTGTACCGTGGCACTGTGTTAAGTACTTTATCTCCTGTAATAGTCAAAAATGCTCTGTGGAGTGGCTCCCATTATGTCTACAGTTTTCATTTGAGTAAAGTAAAGTGTGGAGAGTTTAAACAACTTGCCTGCCATTCGCTAGCCAGTGAAAGGGAGCACCGATACAAAATCCACCTCTCTCTACAGTCTATAGTCTAGGATCTTTTTGTTCAGTTTCATTCTTCCTAAGATCCCTAAGAAAAGAGCTCCATCTAACACCCACACTCCTCCAGCATCCAGGAAATCCCCAAAGAATCTGGTCCTTAACTTGTTTCGCAGAGCAAACATTTGCTCTCCAGTGGGCACAAGAAACCCCTATTCCTGTCTAAAGACTGGTGTCCACAGGGAAAAATCGGCAGGCAGCACAGAAGTAGCTCAATTCTCTCCTTGTGGGACTTTCTGATGGACAGAGTTTCCAGACCCCTATATGTCATCCAACAGTCTTTTTTTTAATATCCAAGTTCAAACGTCTTGGGAAATGGAATCCACACGCTCCCTGATAGAATTAACCATAGCCCTCTATAGCACAGCCTCCTAGTCATGTGTCTCATTGCCTTTAGGGTCCGGTCTTATGATAACATCGCTGGAAACTTTGCAGCTGCTCAAATATTGGTTGGATACACGATTGCAGGAATCCACGACTGTGATGTTGGCATCAATAGTTATATTTCACCATTTGATGATGACCTCAAAATGTGATGACTCTAGTGATAGATAATTTGGCCAAAATGTAAGTTCAGTGGTTTGTGAGAGTCAATTAGGCAGCTAATGAATCTTACTCATCACTTAATTTTCACATTTCAATGTGACTTCATCGGTTCTGATTATCTTCTCTTTTTGTTCCTAGTTTTACTGAGGTATAATTGACCACTAAAATTTGTACCGATTTAACTTGTTGATTTGATATACATATACTTTGTAAAATATTTGCCACAACCAAGCTAATTAACATACCCATCATCTCACATAGTTACGACTTCCTTTTTTTGTTTCCTGGTGATAATATCTCCTTTAACATAATCACTCCTGCTAAGGATCTGAGAGGCCCCCGTATATTGTTGGTTATGTCATATTGCAATTTCTGGGACCATTTCTTTGCAGCGACAATACTCATGAACTAAAGAGAAGAAAAGCTTTGGTAACGGATTTTCTTTGAATATCACAAGTCTCCATGATCTCCTCTGTAGAAGCCAACCGTCTTTATGTAATTAGGATTTGCATTTGATTTTTTTTTAAGTCAGTTCTACTGTGACTGTCCATTGACCTTGTAGGTACCCCACTCGGTTCATGTGACAGGATAAGACTCTGAATGCCCCCTTTCAGGGATATAGATGAGAGACCCACGTGACTTATCTGGGAAACTAAGAGTGTGCGGCTACCCAGAATGAGATGCGAGGTGTTTATGCCAACATCTGGCAGGAATTTGGGGTCCCCACTTAATAATCTTTTTGTTACTATAGCCTGGTGGTCATTTAAGTACAACTCTGTAAGGTGATGGGGGAAAGTGATGCACACACACACTGGCATGGCCAGATTTCATTACTGCACAGTAAAAGATTTCACTAATTACTTCACCTTGTCTGGCTTCGGTTTTTGCATCTTTAAAACAGGGATAACGATGTCCTCTCTATAAGGCTTCGTGTGGGCCCACTGCATTTATCCATTTATTTTTTATTTTTTCGACTGCTAAGTTTATTTTTTATTTTTATTTTTCGGGGGCCCACTGCATTTAATATGCTTAACATATGCCAAACGGGCAGTGTTCCAGAAATGTTGGCTGTTAATGAATTGTGTGCAAAAATCCCACAGGTCCATTTTTCAGCCTCCGGGTATGACACTGATCAATAACTCTTTCTTTAAAATAAATATGCATACATATGGCTTAAGGAATAATATTTGGCTTCCCTACTTCATTTTCTCACATAAACAGTTCACATGAGCATCTATGCATATGCATGAAAACTTGCACGCACATAGGCACACACATGCTTGTTACTTCATAGTTGTTTAAAATATCCAATAGTCAGATTGATGTCCTCATGTATCAACTCTGGCAGGTGGCAGAACCATCATTTTTACCCAAGTAGAAAGGCTCCATGACATGGAAATCAGAGGTGGCTTCATTTCAGCCCTGGGCATTCAAAGTCTGTTGTAGAAATTTTCTATTCCCTTTAAGATATGCCTTGGGCTGTTGGAGCTGAGAAAATGGGTCAGCAGAACAAATAATTTTTCTGCAACTCAGAGCCTGATCATACTGAGGGTTATATCTCTGTTTAATGGTGCCCCTTTTAAAAAATAAGAACAAACTGACTTAGCCAAATTGGTAGCTAGTGGCACAAGATAGAAAAAAAATGAGAACAAAATTACAAAATGCTAATATCAAAAAACAAAATTTAAATATCAATCAAGTTGGGAGGTTGAAATAAATCCATATATCCATTTTATGGTATATTACGTAACCACTAAAAAGAATGAATGTGGTCTGTACATATTAACATTGAAAGAGCTCCATATTGATTATTTTGTAAGAGCCACTTAAAAATGATATGTACACTATAATACCATTTATATAAAAAGAATGTACACGATACCATGAATGCCGTAAATATATACTTACTCCATAAATATGCATGAAAATGCAAAATAAAGGTGTAGACAATAATCTTCAACAGTGGCATCCTCTGAGGGACAGAGATCAAGCTGGCAGTGGCACTATTAAAATATATTTTAGACTTTTCTTGAATGTTTCTTTCTTTTTAAAAAATGAATCTGTACTTCCATATTTCATATAAAATAAAAATGTTAAAAATGGTAAATCCCATGCATTTCCCCTTATGACAGTAAAAAAATTATATTATTCTTAAAAATCTATGAAACAAAGGAAAAATATCTTCCAGTAACATGATTCATCTCAATGATGAGCATTTTGGTGTAATTCCCATCTTAATTTCATTCACATCATGCTATACGTATAATTTTTTATCTGGAAAATTTTCATTCATTATGGGGCCCTTACAGTCTTCATCCTGCTCATGTTAATGGGTATAATATTCCACTAAGCATATATATCCTATTACGTTACTTTCCTGTGAATTTTCGGTACAATTAAGTATGTAATTAGCATATCACCAGCTTTTCTCCCTATGTAGTTTAAGAGAGATTTACCCTAAGGAGGATTAAAGAATCAAAATGTTTGAACATTTTAAATGACTCTTCATATACACATGTGAATTCTTAGTGTGCAGAGTGTTGAGACACCTTCTTGGTTACTAAAGGCAGAAATGCATTGTCCTGAGGAGTGTGCGACAAACAGCAACAGCCTTACCTGGCCCAAATGGCACAGGGACTGTTTAAAAGGAGTAAATAATACACTCATACATTCTGCTCTCACTATGGACTTCATCATGAGGCATCTTCTAAGGCACTTCAAAAGCCTAATAACTCCAGAGAAGGCCCTAAGCCAGAACTGAATTCTGCAGTCACACATTCCAAAATGATTAGTGACCGATGAGGAGGTGGTGCTTAAAAAAACAAACAAACGAAACCTCCATCCTCCCTCAAGCAACTATCATAACAACAAATTAAATTACCCAACTAATTCCCAAATAATTACTGTGTCTCCCCCGACCCCCGAGTGGGAGTTACTCGGGGGAGACTGGGAGAAGGGCATGCCCAGCTAACCTGAAGACTAAATTCGTCTCTGTAGAGGAAATTATCTCATTGATTCAGGTGGTTCACTGTAGCAGGTCAGCAGTGAGGACACAGTCGCCATGCTAAGGCAAATATGGCTTGTTGAAACAGATTCCCTAGTTAAATTACTTAATAGATTCAGAGGTAGAGGCAATTCCTTGTGAAAGGCCAATCTGTACTTACCATTTGTATAAGGGTTGACAGTCTTTTTATTTGTCATTACACGTGCTGTGGCATTATTTACCTATGTACATAGAAAACTCAAATGAGCATTTATTCCAGGGCCAGCCCACAGTTCTATTAGTTGCATGCATTATGACTGTGATTACTTATTAAAAAAAAAAAAAAAAACTAAAATGCATTTTAATTTATAAAAGGCAGTAGGTGCATAACAAAATCATACATTTTTATAATTACATTTACTTCATAACCATTTTAACTTATAAATCATTTCAATAAAGCAATGTCATATCATTGAAAAGTTTAATAAGGAGACAGTAAAAGCAAATTAAAAGGAACTGCATAATTGAAGATTTAAAAGCATGCGTGTACTCCATGGTAACACAGAAACAATATTTTTTTAAACATAAAATAAAATTCATATGAAGGAACATGCAGTGGAGTAGAATCGGGGAGAGACAAGGTACGAGGGAACATAAATGTCAAAAAAAGGGACAAACAAGTTTTAGCCGTGTGCAACACTTTGGGAGGGAAGAACCATGGGGGAAGCCACATCTAGCATTCAACACTTGGAACAAGAGCCTTTTACATCGCAAGAATTAACAAAACCATTCAAGCTTTAAAGTCACAGCTAACAAAAGGAGAAAAGAGAGGGTGCATTGTTTAACACAATATGGAGTTAACGATCTGAGTAAGATGTGCACCGGTCATATCTCAATCAAGTCAGTGCCTCCCAGGCTAGCTTAGAACGTACACTCAATTACAGGCGTACCAATATCCAAAAGAATAGAGCATCAAGAAAACTTAATACGACAAGTCAAAAAAATTCACGTGGTATATATATATGTATATAGATATATCAGCACTAAATACGTGTAACGGCAGATGGACTTCACCACTTACCATTCACCACCATCGCCAGCATGGGTTTGTATACAGTTACCATGGTTACTGAGAGTTTGGTGAGGGGCCTAAGCGTTACCGTCGAGGGGGGAAAATGAAAGGCAAAATATGCAACATCTTACTCCAAAGACTAAAGCATTTGTAACTGGTTTTTTTTTTTTTTAAGTTTTTTAACAAATATGACCCTGTGGCCACGTTGAGGGAGATCCAGTGGTAAAAAACAGGAGATTCTGAGTATCGCAATTTTAGCATTAATTTTATTGATGGAGCGGGGCTAGATAGTAAACAGGAAATCCCGTTTGCTTATTCATTATATTATCAAAAGAATACAAAATTTCAAACTGGCTTCTTAAAAAAAAAAATGAAAGGTTTAAGGACAAAGACCTCTCATTTTTTTTTTTTTTTTAATGTTGTTCTTTCAAATGCTATTTCTTTCACAATTTGGCTTAATTTGCACACCACTGTGGATCCCTCGTCAACCCTGTAGCGGAAAGAAAAAGAAAAGAGAAAAAAAAACAAAACTGCTCTGTATTTTGTTTTGTTTTGCGACACTGTCTCCACTGTTTGGAACCTAACGCACCCATTTACACTAAAACATGGAAAATAAATAAATAAATAAAGAGATAAATAAATAAATAAAAAATTTTCAGATAAACCTTTCTTTTGTCTCACATTTGCCATCCACCTTTCAGCAGTTATCAGAGTAACATAATAAAGTAAAATTAAAAAAAAAAAAAGTAAGGCCAGTTTTCCTTTTTATATATAAATATATATATAGAGATAAACAATGAAAAGGGAACAGGGTCACATACAAGACACGATGATGCATCTGAAACAACGAATGAGCGTGAAGCAGACATTTATAAAAAAGATGTAAAGGAAAATATTTTGAACATGCACCTCGATTTTACGGCCCTCTACCACGGTGCCGTGTAATTTCTCCCTCGCCCTGTCCGCATCGGCACTATTTTCGAAAGTTACGAAACCAAATCCCTGCATGCAGGAGGGAGAAGGGAAAACAACATGCAGATTATTATTTCAGTCAACGACCACTGTGTAACGTTCTCTCGCTTTAATTTCTATGTCTTGTCCTGGCTTCCGTTCTGCAACATGCAAATTAGAGAAATTATAAGAGTACTAAGATGTGCAATCAGTAAGCAACCAATGTGAACAAGATAGTTTTTTTTCTGTCACCAGTTAGCTGTAACCCCTGAAGAATTCAAAGAATGATACCCGAAATACCTTTCTAAATGTCACTACAGAAGAAAATAAATCTAACGGAAAGAAAATGAGATCAAAATAAATTTACGGTGTCTTCACAGAATAAAATGAAATAACGAGGAAAAAAAAAGGGAACCACTTTCTTGACATGCAAATTAAGAATAAAATAAAATAAAACATGTGCACGAAATTCAACAATGAATGCCAAAATTTTCTAACATTGCCTACAGAGTCATGCTGTGTTGTTTTAAGAACATCTCTTCTTCATGCAGTTTTAGGGTTATTCAGATTTGTCAATTCTATAGCCTTTACTTCTCAAAAATAAAAATTAGAAGCCTAAAAAAAAGGAAAGACCTTTTTCTGTAATAAAGCTTAAACACTTTGATCTAATAAACAAAATAATCACATGAAATGAATAGAAATAAACATCAATTGATAGATAAATGCAAACGGTTCAAGTAACGTTTTTGTATTAACACTTCCCTCTCCCCTACCAAAAACATAACATACGTGCTTCTGAATCTGTCAACTTTCCAGACTACTGGACTAACCAAAAAGGGAAATGAGTAAACATATTATAAAGTTCTGAGACATTATGCGGATATTCATTTGTCATATTATTGGGTAGGAAAAAAAGAAGCTTCGTGAATAGAATGTTATTTAGGATAACACTCTGGGCACTTCCGCTGTCACTGACATAACACGTAGACCCTTTACGTCACCACTGGCATATTTTGTGTTAATATTTCAGCTCAAAAAACAATCCCACTAAACGTCACATTGTCAAAATCCATCTTTTTTTTCTTCACTGACACTGTTCCTAAGAAGAGTACAGAAAATATGACACATTATTTTTAAAACCCCTAAAAATATGCGTACATCTTGTTCAGACATATACACCAACCTTTTGAAACCATTCCAGCGTCAATTTGCCCAGCTCGTTCTGGCTTTCACGGTGTAAACTAGGTGAAATCATTCTGTGTGGGTCTGTCTGAACTGTCCACAAAGGTAAATGCTGGCTTTACATTTAGTTGGGGCAGTAGGATATTTTGTTTTACTGATAAAATAGACAGTAATTACAAGGAAGGGGTAGTCATAACCGACTAGTGTTAATAGCCAATTGGTTGCTCCCTAGGCCACTGAAGTGCTTGCCAAAGCTCAGGGTATTTGAGAGGTATGCCCGATGGTCTGCCTAAGAGAGAAGTACCTTTCAATGTTAATATGGGCTCATCTATAGCAGCCACCTGCTGTGAATGAATTCAGGCTAGAGTAGATGACTACTTGACAGTATTCCATAGAGAAAAAAAAAATGAATTTCTTTACTTTGTGGGGTTAGACTAAATTACTTTTCATAATAATTCCCATAGTGAGGATCTGTGACTATCTGGATAGGTCTGGATTATTTGATTAATATAAGATTATATGCTTCATAACAGGAGGGCCCTATTTAGGTAGCACGCCCATGTTAGGAAGTCAAATATACTTACTTGCTAACTTAATAGTTTTGAAATAATAGCTTTTCAATGAGCAAAAGATGCAATTTGGGAGGGCGGCTCTATTTGATAGCTCTGACTCTTGGCCAGTGGGTCTCAAACTTAGTTGCCCATTAGAAGGAACTGGGAGCATGTGAAACACTTAGATTCTGAGCCCTGCCTGCCACGTATCTACCAGATCAGAATCCCTGAGTGGAGCTCAGAAATCTATTTGTTGAAAAAGCTACCATGTGGCTTGCTCAGTCATTGGATTCCCACAGCTTCTCATCTCACTAAGCACCACCAAAAGAAGGTTTTGGTTTTCTGTATGAAGTAGAGATTATATTCCCAATTTCAGCAGAGCAACTTATCGAGTAGAGTGAATTTTTGAGGTGAATATCTACTTGACGTGGTTACTTGGATCTCAGATGTAGGAGTGCAGACAAAATCATACAGCGATGTTCTCTTCCTCATCCCTAAGCCAAATTTCCTATCATCAATACATTCAATTATGCCATACATTCAATAAATAATAAGGGAAGCTAGGACGCTGGCTGTATCGGGGCAATTCTGTCATTGAGAAAAGAGAGAAAGTCCATAGGCCAAGTTTTATAAATGACGACATCATTGGTATCTACGGGCACTAGCATTCCTTGTCATCAGAGTACTGAGAAGAATGTAGCCATGTGAAACTAAACATTCAACCCACCTGTCTAACATCATCCCAAAGAACTAAGTCACCACGTATCTACTCTGAACCCAAGGCAAACCATCCTGGCATTATGTATATCAGGAAGAGATGAAGGCAGAGAAGGAAATATATTTTGAATCCCATAAAAGTTCATACATTACAAAGGAAGCATTCCATGCCATTTTCAAGTTCTCATTTTGATTTGAGGTAAAGATAATATGTCGATTCCTTTTATTATTATTCTTACTCTCATAATTTTCCACTAAATTTCTTTTTTCTGAGCTGCTCAAGACTTCTCAGTCCAAGCTTCTGAGGTGACTGGCAGAGACTGGGCAAAGATGAGCTCCCAAAGGGCTTGCCTCATGGGCTTTCCTACCTGTTCCTGGACCATCGTACCAGACAAGAAGTGACATGGCCTCCTGGGTCAGAAGACTGCCAGAATTCTCATCTGGGAAAGGACACCATAACCAGAGAGACCGTCACCTGGCCATTTTCTGGTACCCTCTCCATCAAGCACGAGTGCCAGGCAACTGTCAAGAGCTGGTGTTGAGGTGGTTTCTTTCGATCACCTCAGAGCTAGAATTCTATCTCAAGGAAACAGCAACTTGAAGTTCTCAAAAATATTCTGAATATTTTCATCTCACCCTTAAAAAGGGGAACAAAAGCAGCACATTCCGGACTGAGGAGCACAGGGACTGAGAGCGGTGAAGATGTGGAATGCCTCACAGGTCAAGAAGGGCTATGTGAAGAAGGCACGATGCTGCTGGACAAGAGGATTTGAGTCCCGTGCCACCCCTGATGGGAAGGCACGATCACCAGGCCAGATAATGGCTACCTTAAGATAGACTGCTGGACCAGTGCGACTTACTATTTTAACATCTTTTAGTGAATCGTGAATTCTGACCTCCCTGTATCCCAGTTCTGTTTCTACTTTGACCTTGTAATATATGTTTAGGTGACATTTTCCTTTTCTGTATTAATGCAAATACAACATCTTATATCTCAGATAAAGGCTCTGAAGCCCTCAAGATGGAAGAGTGCGATGATTTTTCATCATATATAAGTCCAATTCCTCTAGTTTCTGGTGCAGAGAACTTCCTGTCTCTACAAGGGGAGCTGCTGACGAGAGTCCGAAGGTTCATTTTCCTGGCACTAAGAGCTTCACACCTTGCTTCTTCTCAATGACCTTGGCACACGCAGCTCCTTTGCCTTGAAGGGACGTCTTCCCCCGTTCCCTTCCCTGGGAAATTCTCACTCTCTTTTCTATCTCAGCTTATATGCTCCTTCCTCCAAGAAGCCCTCCCACCTTCTAACGAAATTGGTCTGTCTGCCTGGAATCTCGACAGCCTCTCTTTGACTACAGAACACAGCATACTGTATCATAGTTGTTTGTCTGCATGGTCTGTCTTTCCTGCTGCTTGGGAAAATCTGTGAGGATGATGGGAAGCATTTCTGTGTCGCTCACAGCTGATTCACTTCTCTCGTACCTGGAATGTAACTCATACTTAAAGATATCTACTGAATCAAAGATCGGACCGTATTCTTCCTAGGTATATTAAAAGCAGCTGTATAGGGCTATATCTCCTAAATAAAACATTTCAGAGCTAAACACAAATGTTTTTAAATCTCCCAGAAAGGAAAAATTAATTATAGGCTCTCTCATTCTCATTATCAAATTCTGGTGTACCTTTTTAAAATGTGGTTTCCTGGTATACTTGCTATCCATGTATGAAGGCATTATTTATGTGATACAGTTCTAGCATGATGTAGATACTGCTTGTGCATGTATAAGTGCATATGTGCACACGCTTACACACACCAAACACCCACAGAACACACAGCCATACTCACTTAGCGTTAAGTGACTGGCCTCGGAGAATGGCCAGGAGGTGAGCTCCTAGCTATTAAGGGCTCACCCACTTCCTGGCTGAGTCTCCATCACTAAATGATAAAAATGAGGTCATAACAGTGGTTCAAGTTTTTCAGCTATTAAAATGGAAATGTTCCTTTAAACAGGCCTTTTCCCGTAAAGGATAATGTCAAATATGAAAAATATTGCCGTGTGAGCCACTGCCCCATTCAGCAGCTCCCAAACGGATGGTCTCAGTGACACTCCAGTCATACCTGCCTAAACAAGCCAGCCCCAACACCTGCATGACTGGTTCTTTGAGAGGGCGCACCCCTTGGTGAGAGGCTATTTTTGATGTTTCCAAATCAAAGGAGGAAAAAAAAAGAAAAAAAAGCTTCACAAAGTCAGTCTCTGGATGAGGCAAAGTTAAGTGGTCTTATTCCTAAAGCCCCAGAGACAGGCTAATCACGGGAATGACGGAAGAAGTCTTAAAAATAGCACCGCCATTGTACTTTGAAAATAGCAAGCGATATTCTTCTAATGTCCCAAAACAGCTCTCGGAAGGAATTAAAGAGCTTTCTTCAGCTGGCAAAAGTTACAAAACAAAATATAAATTAAATAGAAAATTTTTTTAAAAAGGCTCTAAAAGCGGTAGCGTTACAGACTTAGATTGGAGGGACGCTGGCCAGCGTTCCATCGCCCTCTGTAACTCTGCCAAGAATACCTCAGGCCTGAGTGAAAAGGATTAGATGGCGTACGACGTTTTCCCTTAGTGCACTTTGCTTTACCCGTATGGAAGGAGTCCCTTAATGATTTTCATACAATAAGCGGAAAGAGAGTTCACTACTTTTTCCCCAGCCTAGAGGCCAAACTGCTGACATAGGACAAGAATGACTGTATAATATCTGAAATTATAAAATGACGAGGTCCCTGAGATAGCAGGACCAGACACTATCATGGATTGGGTATTTGTTTAAAAACTCATTTGGCATTATCACGACACCGTTTGGGCTGTGGAGGGGTGAATACAAGAATTTCCTTGCCTCGGCGCAGCTGGCATTATCCTATTGTTAATACTAAACCTACTTAGGAGGAGAGGTACAGACTGACCGAGAAATGATAAATTCAAATGTTTGCTTCGTGGGGAGGATGCGGTTGCTATATCCAAGGGGCTAGCACTTGCCGCCTTAGATAAAACTGGTTCTTCCTAGTAACCCCCCCGACTTGTCCCAAATTGCCCATGTAAGGAAAGTTACGGGGCTAAAATAAGTATCTCGGTGTATCGGGTGGTACGCAGTGTCTCTCAATATCCACTTGCACAGTCTGGGTATGCAAGGCGAAGGGAGCTTAAATGTCCTGACCACCAGGGGACTGGTGTTCTGGGGGGAAGGCAGAGCTACGGAGTGTCCCCTTTCTAGTTGCTTCTAGGAGCCTGGTCACAGCACCGGACCCTGGAGTCACTCAGTGGCTGCTGCTATGTCGAGGGCACGGTTTTCGAGTGGGTTTCTCGAGCGTTCCGTGGGTGCAGGTGGAAGGAGGACACATTAGCAACCAGCAGGCGAAGGGGCATTTTCCTTTCGGATGAAGCACTGGCACTTGCCGAAAACGAGATGGCCCTGGAAGGTTTGTGGAAACATAGATGGCTGGGCTCCAATTTCAGGGTTTTTGATTCGGTAGATGTGGACTGGACCGTGAGAATTTGCATGTCTAATAAGTTCCTGGGTGACACTGGACACCGTATTTAGATGACTGCTGATACAGAGAATGTTTGGGAAGAGTTTGTTCTGCTTCTCTTTCTTCCGACATATGTCCATTTTGAAAGTGCTGGAGCCTCTCTATATAACCACCGGTTTGTACTAATATTGTTTGCTCTAAGGAAATCTATGCAAAAATTGCTTTCCTAGGGAAAAGCAAACCTCAAAGCAGTGGCAAATTGCAAAATGTGAACTGATAAACATACATATGATATAAAACTATATTCGAAAGGTTGGTGTATATGAGATTTTTCTCCCCTACAACCCAGGAAAAGAACTGCACTTTATTAATACAGAATAATCACATATTTACCTGCTCATGAGACTATCAACTCACTTTTTAATATAAAGAACATAATTATCACTGAAAAACAAAAATGTAGCAACAACATTATTTTTTTAAGCATGGGTAATTTTCCTCTGGAAACTTGATATATATAGAGAGATAGATATAAAACAGCAAGTTAAATGACCCCCTTATATCTTGTAAACTGAACCCAGCGTATGCCCCACCACTTTGCAAACTAGAAGTGGTCGCTAAAGGAAACCCACTGAAGTCTACTGTCACAGTGTGCTAATTAAAACAGTGCAGTTGTTTCCCATTGTTCGTAACAAGCATTTTTAAAATGAGCTAAACCATTCTAAAGTGAATTAAGTTGCTTACCTTTGAGCCTCGCTCATTAAAAATAATTTCAACATCTAAGATTTTACCAAATTGCTGCAAAGAAACAGAAATATTTTATAAGCAAGAAGAGAAATGGAATACGTCATATTATGCACATCGGTAACTATACCCCGAGTCAGAATCTTTTTTCCTTTTCTCTCTTCATACACGAGGACATACATTTCATGTTGTTCTAGCCTTAAACAATGCTCTTAAACCAAGAGAAAATACGACCATACATATTATTCCCATATTATGGCCTTCCCCATGGAGCGAGATATCGTAGCAGGGACCCAGGACAAAACAGGGAATCGAGGGGTTAATTCCACCTTCCTTTCTTTATGTGTTCATGATTGCTTTCCCAGGCCCTGAGCAGCAGAGATTAAAAATGGCTAGTGTGTATGCTGACTCTCCTTGGCTACTCCATTAATCTCTGGAGAAACACCCTTGATGAAGTGGGATTTGGGGAGTAAAATGTCCATATAGAATATGATGTTGAGGATTTTGGTCCCCGGCCCCCATAAAAGCTACGAACAGCCAGGCCACGTAAGACAAGTAAAGTACAAAATGACAAAAGCAAGATTCACTAAATGAACACCCATCACATAGACATTGGCATAGCTGTGATGAGTCCTCGGGCTGACGTGTACTTCTCTCAGTAGGATTCTCCATGTCATTGAAAAAAAAAAAAATGGATTTTAGACAATTAGCATGAATAGGCTCTATGAAAAAGTGAAGGCGACTCCATGTTTTAATGTTTGGAAACACGGTTTCAGATGACAAATAAATTGGGCAGCCAGAGAAGATACAGATGCTTCATTAAATTTAAATTCCAAAATTTTTCAGGACAATTATACCCCGTGTAATACTGGGGCATACTTATACTTAATAAAATATTTGTTATCTA